AGAAATAGGAAAAATACAGGATTTGAGTGGCATGTCCACTTGAATCTTATAGAACAAGCATAGAGTGGCATGTCCATGTATTTTCCGGTCAGAATAGTGCGTGAACAGTAAGCTTTTTTATAGACCCTGATATTGTCTTTTTTGCCAAGAGCTGCTTAAATGTGCAAATGAGCTGAAATTTGAAGTGGACCTCACGCATCAAATTATCTACCACACACAAGAAATTGAGTTTTTTTAAAAAAAATCTAGTATTTATTTTAATTTTTTTCATCCGTCTGATACACTCTCACTACTGTCACTAGGATAAATCTACCACGCTGCAAATGTATTGGCCAAAGAGGCAAAGATCAAGGAAACAAGCTTTGCACTTGTAAATCAAGAGCCTCACGAGAAACCTGGCTTTTAAAATTATGGAGGCTTTTAAAAGTATGCAGGGTTGCTTGCAGATCACATAAAAAGTTAGGGCATCTCCGCAAAGCGCACACCGCATCCATCTGTCATGAACACGGATGCAGGAGTCGGCTATTTGCCATTATATGTTCACCGCATCTCTTCTAATTTTCTTGGGTGATTTATTTATTGGGTCGGTTGAGTCATCAATTTTTTTCTGGATGCCTTGACGATGGTCAACCAACAATACATGATGGTAAATTTTTTTTTCTTCAACTTCTTGAACACACTACACACACGAAAAGGCTATAAAATAAAATATTGTCAATGCTTATCCAGCTACAAAACTATGCATATCCGACTACAAATGATCTACACAACAATGCATACATATCCCTCCCTCTATAGAACTATGCATATCCGGCTACAAATGATCTAGTTCATACACAACAATGCATACATATTCGACTACAAGACTATGCATATCCGGCTACAAATGATCTACAAAACTATGCATGTCCGTCTACACATGATCTACACAACAATGCATACATATTCGGCTACAAAACTATGCATGCTCGACTACAGATGATCTACGAAATTATGCATATCTGGTTACAAATGGTCTACACAATAATGCATACATATCCAACTACAATACAATACAAGTGATGTACGCATATTAAGAACTTACTTACTCGATGATTTACGCATCACTAGGCCATCGTGCGATGAGTTGCCTCAAGTGGCTGCAATACTTGGACGCATCCCTTGGATGATGTACCATCGATGGTTGAGGGATTTCGCTTCACGGTTGCAGATGACCGCGTCAGAGTAGGGCGCGAAATACTTGTGTTCATGGAACCAAGTACAAATGTTGGCCCAAAAGGTTGTGCCCTTTTACTCTCCCTTTTACTCTGTGTCATGGATCGGATCGAGGCTAGTAGCCAACCATGCATCGCACAACAACTCATCTTCCCGCATGTTGAAACTTTCTCCTCTACCCCTATGCTTTGACTATTGAAATGATCTAGATCATTGCCATCGTCTTCCTCCTGTTGTCCGGCAGCCCAATCCTGATGTTGTGTGCCTGCGCCCAGCTAATTGTAGTCCTGATGCGTGCTAGACTGGGTGTAGGTGCCCGGCTAGGTGTCCTGTTGTGTGCCCGATTGGGTGTCGGTGCCGGGCTAGGTTGGCTCCGAGTCATCCACTTGTCCGTCCTCATAGGAACCTCCTCCTCTGCCTCCCTCTTGGATCATCTCATACATCTCCATGTCCATGTCATCGTATGCCGGCTCTGCCGCTTTAGGCATACCAGCGAACAGCGTGTGGGCACCCATTTGCTCCACGCCCATCGTTCGCGTCCAGACAAGCGGCGGCGATGAACACTCAGAGAAAAGCAGCGGCGCCACGTTGACGTTGACAATGAACGGCATGGTGGGGGATGCCCGGGACTGCCTACCCAGCTGCCTGGTGGCATAGAAGTACGGGGCCTTGTAATGTTTCGGTCATGGCGGTGTCTGCACGGTCGGCGAGGCCCCGTGGCCCGGGCCACCCTGACCTTCACCACATCCGCGACCTGCATGCCCACCGCCTCGCTTGCCACCAGCACGCCCTCCGCTGGCCTTCTGCTTCTTGAGTTTTTCCTCTTTTGCGGACTTCGCTTTGATGCTGTGATTTTTTTCCTTGTCATTGAGTTGATCTTTCGGGCGAGCGTGATGCTTGGATCCTCCACCACCTTCTTCTCCGACAGTGTCTCCTCCAGGTCCATGGGTCGGCGGCGGGATGAAAGAAGGGACTGGAGAAAAGGGCAAAAATTTGATGGAGAGCGGCAGGATGGAAGAAGAGAGTGTGGGATTTTACCGCGAAAACAGTGCGGGCAGCGACAAATGCGCAGGCTCCGCCTCAGTTTTTGGTGGACCGGGGATGCTGGAGTTTTAAGT